AGGGCTGTGAGGGTCAATTTAGCATAGGTTGAGGTAGTGAGGTAAACCTCTGAACCTTGAGAATAGGACTCAGTAATTTATCATAGCGTAGTACTTATTCAGGTCGCATAGAGAAGGCTCAACTTGAGATATCTGTGGCGTCGCCTCGACACCCGGCTGTCCGTGAAGGGTCAAGTGTATGTTGCGCAATTCTTCCAGTTTTGCTGTATGGCATAGAAACTTGACTATTAGATAAACAGGGTTAAGATAAACTGTCGATGTTCGAACATCGCTGCTTACGCAGCATTGCACGAATCTGGTGGGGTAACCGGATTAGCAACGCTGAGGTTAGGCGAAGAGTTCTAGGTTTACCTGATCGGTAACTGGAGCAAGTGATCAACCATAGATTACTTTGATTGAGGCATGTGTTACGCATTCCACCAGCTAAGTTGCCACGGCGAACTATGTCTGCCGAGGCAGTGGGTGGAACAAAGCCAAGGGTGGTGAAGCTAAGACCTGTCACGAGGGTATGAAAACCGTAACCAGGAGACTGGGTCACACAGCTCCCGATAGGTACTCGGGCTGGGGACCTCGGGATCATGGTAACCGGTGGTTAGAGATGCTGAGTGTCGCAAACAATGGCGTTCGTGCATCTTCTCCATTTCCTTGCAGCCTTAGTCCCCTGGAATTCTCCATTTTTTTCTTCGACTGCACTCTCAACTTTCCTGTTTTGCTACTGTTTCATCCAAATGGGCTACCAAAAGACAATAAGCAAAACAGACGCAAGAAGGTGGATAGTTAATGGTTATACAGAGTGAGCGGAATTGAGCTTATCCAAAAATGGATCACAGTAGCCAGCATGTATTCTTTGCGACTTTTCGAAAGATATCATCCAAGGAATCCATTTGTAAAGAAATGTACGAGATTTATTGGGTGCAGTCGGTGTATGACTTTACATTTTACTGTGGTCATCAACAAGTTGGTAGAGCGAGCGATTTCATTTTATGAATGATCATATGATATAAATGCAAATCATTCAGTACTGTGAAATACAGGGATGCTGTTTCAATAGTTCTGCCATTGATACGGTAATTCCCACCACAAGCTGCGGGAAATTCTTTGTAAAACTCCAGAAATTAACATTTGGTGTCAGCTCGCTAACTTCGTCGAACACACAAGAAATCATGGGGTGATAAAAATTGTTTGTTTTGCGAATTGCACCTTTTCCCATCAAGCTTAAGCACTTTTAAAACCGGTTCACTTAAAACACGAAAGCCATGCCAGATGTGCCAAATGATTTGATAATATGGGCACATCGTTTAAGCCTTCTGCAATCACTATACGGTACGATATTTGATACCATTAGGACGGTCAACCGCGCAGCATACGCTTTCATCATCATGTCATTTCGTAAACAAGCTTCGTAACATCCACATTGATCTGATTCGCCTACAGCGTTATGACTAAAGTTTGTGTGTCGAGGCTAAAGAACTACGAATCGTGGCTAAAGAGTTATGGGTTTTGGCTAAAAGAATATGGGTCAAGGCTAAGGGATTGTGGGTGTTGGCTAAAATTTGATGGAAAAAAGTGTAGGTTGAATCAACTGAATGGGGGAGGATGAATCAGTAGACAGTCGAATGTGGTGGGTTTCGATTCTTAACAAATAATACGAGAGGTAACGCACAAGTTAATCCACAGCGTTGAATTTCATAGGGATAAACGGCCTGTGCAACGCTCCACCGCTGTATCCTTGGCTATTGTGAACTAACTCCAGGGCCTCACAATCCGATATGATCATAATCTTGGTACTGTAGAGATATGTCTGAGACTGAGTAACAGACCGAAATGCAGCAATGTGATTGGGCATAGCCTCACTCGGCCTGACCTTAGTCAACAGGAGACAAACGAAAAACCGGGTGATCATTCTGTTCTAACAATGCTACAATTCCAATCGCGGAGATGTCTCCAATTACAGGTGTACGATCACATAAAACAGCACCGGAGGTAAAAAGACTGATTAGAACCCTTGTAGTGGTTTGCAATGGAATGCTCTTGGCCTAGGAAGTGAAAACATTTCTGCTTTTGTTGAAAAATCATTAGAATAAATCTGGAATATTTTTGAAATAAATCGAGAAACGAACGGAATTGATCACTCAATTTGGGATATGCATTGGATGAGAAAGCAAAACGTGTAGGGTCAGGATGGAAACCATTCATGTCTGTCCACAAGAAGACCCAGATAGGAAAATTTTGGGTGTTGAAAAACGCCCCGAAAATAGGCATAATTGTTTCTCATGCAACTTGTTTGTGAGGGCGTGTCTCAGTTAGAACACAGTTAGAACAAGTGGCAAAAGACCATGGTGGAATAGATCAAATAAGGAGTTCTAATAGCGGTTAGTTCACTTAACTTTCCATCAAGTGGTACCTGGTTAAAGGTATCCATTAGACCTAACTTCCAAAGGAATTGGCAACTGTGCAGTTGGGTAAGGATATCTTCAGGCTCGAAAGTCGAACAATTGATCTGCTTCAATTGCTGGCTGATTGTAGTTCAATGATTTCCACAAATTTTGGGCGTTTCACTGTTACGTTTCAGTGAAATTACGATGAGAGTAGCCCAAGCCGATGCACTTCCGGGTGACAATTGTATTGTATCGCCTTGTATGGTATTGAAGCTTTAGTCAGAATAGACCACCGTTACAATTCTGGTAAAAAAGAGATGAAAAAGTGGGATATAAAACTTGCAAACCTGTGAGTTACTTACTGAGTGTATTAGAGAGCTCAGAACGAAAACTTTTCTAGTCGCTCGGTATCCGGCCAAGATAGGATATTAAAGAGTTTCTTTATGCAGATATGCGAGACGGGATAAGTTTGTATTTAGAACGGGTGGCGGAGTGGAACTTGCATGCACCCAGGCCAATATGTAAAGGATGAGCGTGCAATCGGACAGGATATTGTAAGCAAACTTCAAGCACGCATCAATGTGAGCATTACACATATTGCCAATCAGAACAGATAGTGGAACTTGGGAGGCACGGCTGATCATTGAGAGGCCAGGTCTCAACAAATTAAAATCAGTCTTCAGCAAACCAGAAAAGGGCAATAGTAAAGGGGTATAAGGGAAACACATTGTTAAACAAAAGAGGCTATCACCGATGAGTCAGAACAGAATTGGTGCAGTCTTCTTATCTTAAAAGAGAGAACTTTTAGCTTGTGATCAACAGTTTGGGTATGTAAGGACCGGCGAAGGTTATTTTCAAGTGTTACACCTAAGTACTTCGCATAGCTGACCCTGCTCATCGGTTTTCCGTGAATCTGTACATTGTCGGAGGGAGATGGGAAACGGTTTAGAGTAAAAATACATTCAAGGCATTTTTCAGGATCATGATTAAGACCGGAAGAAGTGGAATATGAAACGAGGTAGGATAGGTTTGTGTTATATTCAACCAGTTCTGATGGCACTGTTTGCAACATAATTGTGCAGAAATTTTTTGCCCGGGTTCACGAAGCCCCGACAGTATGATGATGTGGCCGGCGTTTTGCAGATATGAGGGGACCGTCAGCTTTCAAATGATTGGTAGATATTTTGCTGTAGACTTTAGAATTGGAGTATCTGAGCGCTCGGTGACGGAGCCCTTCCTCAAAACTGTTGATAATCGAGAGGACACAAAAGTGATGTGTTTAAATGTCTCATACAATCCAAACCGGTTGTAGAAATATCAGAATCAATAACGATAAATGAACAATTGAAAGTGTTAGAATGTTTGTCAATGCTTAACAATCCGCATTAGCCTATAAGGCGAGGATTACGTCCAGTAATACCTTGTACCTTGAAATGCCAGCTGAGAAAACAAATCAATCCAGCCACAATGCCGAGGTCGAATTTTGGAAGCAATTTCGACAAACAGATTGGCGGTGACCACACTACAGACAACGTTTGTGGCATTTCACAATTGCAGTTCAGTCTTGAATATCGTTCACTATGTGACTGATAAGAATGCTCATGAAGGGCATCTCTTATTAAAGATTGTGGAGGGTCCAAATTACGGTTTTCGACTTTGCTTACATTTTGAAGTACCGCGTCTACGTATCTCGCTCTAGAGAATTTCATTTGTGATTGAACAACTTGAGACATCTGTGGCGCCGTCGCGACATCCGGCTGTCTGTGAAGGGTCGAGTATACGCCGCGTAAGTTTGGTCAGTTCTGCTATACAGTTTAGAAACTTGACCATTAAGAACACAAGAAAAAGATAGACTGGACGCACGAAAGTGTATGGTCGTTCAAACTGAACTCTGGAACAACACTTTTGGTTCTTCTTTGGCTGAAGCTCGCACATCCTGGAATTGTTCACAAAGCAGTTTGGCTGATTGACATGTGCAGTTAGGAATAAAGAATAATTGTCGNTGTCGCTGTAACTCATTTTCCTTGGCAATGAGTCTGTCATGAAGCTGAATTTGTAAATAATCGCCCAAATTGCAGTGCGAAGCTTGTATCTGTAATTGTGAGATAAACTCTTTTACTGGTTGACTAGAATCGCGTGCAGTTTCGTGCGCTTTACAGCCTGGAACTTAACAGTTTGAAAGTATGATAATAGTAAATCCTTCAGATCCTCCTACAAAAGTTTGATTGCGGAGACCAGAAAGGTTAAATCGATAAATGGATAATCGACAGAAAATGTGCAGTTCTCCTATCAGAATCCAACACCATATTGTAAAACTCTCCAAGTAATCCCTGTGTAACGCGAATAAAATTGAATATTAGAAACTCTCCAAATTGCAGGAATCCATTGTATTCAAACCGGCTGCAACACTGGTTGTGGTGTTCAAGAATAATAATAATAATTAACAAATATTTGCGTTTATGTACAATTATTTTATCGGCTCTTGGCGGGATTTGACAAATCTTATTCTCTAATTCCCCTCGGGTGATAAGCCGTTGGGGATAAACGCTAACTGAATGTCGTTGAAAAAGGTATCTGAACAAACTAAATCTGGTAAATGTGGTCACCTTTTAAAGCCTCGATATGGTCCTGGGTGGGTTTCTAGGGTTGTGGCTGATCACCCTGCCCCTTGCACCTCGAGAACTGCTCCCATAAGACCAAGAATGTCAAATGGGCTCTGCTGAGGAAACCCTACTCATTGCTTTCTCTTAGCGGAGATGTTTTCCCACCAAAATGAGAGGACGAATAGCCAATATCTGGGGCTTTAATCGGGTTGGAGAACCACTGGTAGTTCACCTAAGGGAGTTGGCCAAAAACCCTGATTTCAAACCAAACCGAGAGGAGGCGTACGAACCACACATACCATCCCGGTTGTGGCAGTGGACATTGGCTCAATTGGGCATCGAGGTGTAATGAGCACCTTTGACGTTTGACCTCATCCAAAAGGCACATGATCCGATGAACTGGACACCGGCTCCCAATGGATTGCGGTTTTCACACACACACACACACACA